TTATTTTACTTTTTTTATAACATCTAGAAAATCTGGTGCTATTACCAGTAGTTTTATACAACTGGAAATAATAAATAAAGTATACTCTGTATGGAAATGTAACTAACTTGGTATTTATTTTTCATTCTTAAAAGCAGAAAGTTTATTAAAAGAATTATAGCTCCAGCGCTTGTGGATACAAATGATCCTAAGAGCAATTTTACATATGCTAGAGAGCAATTCTAAATTATAAAACATTAAAATAGAAACAATGCATTATAACTATGACTTTCACTAAAGAAAAAGCTTGTGAATTGTTTATCTGAGAAAGTTCAAAACTTGATTTCAAAACATTTATATCTATTTAAAACTTTTGCATTAAGCCTGTTTAAGGGCAAACTTAAATATATTTGCCATGCATGTGTAGAGATACTAATATTTTTCTTTTAAAGAAATAACAAGCCTTTTGTTTTTAGGGTGCTTAATCTAAAAATTATCTTTTGAGATCTATGTGAAAAATAGAGAATGGTAGTTGTTGAAGTACTAGTTTTGTCATTCTTGGAAGTGAATTTTAAATCTTGTTAGAAAATAAGTATTTTGTGTTAATGTCTTTAATACATAGGACTAATGACTGGTTTTGGATGTTCTAGGCCTTGCTTATCCAAGAGTCAAGATGGAAATTACCACACCTACTACAGTTGCCTGAGAATTACAACACCATTTTTCAGTACTACCACAGAAAAACCTGTAGTATCTGCACCAAGGTTCCTAAAGACCCTGCTGTTTGCCTTGTTTGTGGTACTTTTGTATGCCTGAAAGGACTTTGCTGCAAGCAACAAAGTTACTGTGAATGTGTATTGGTAAGCAGTAGTAATCATACAAAATGTATGAAGAGTTGGACCTCATGGGAATGTGGTATGGTAGATGTGTTCATGGCAGCTCTTCAAATTTAAGTAGTCTTTGAATTAAACACAATATGTGTAGGGATTTTATGTTATACTTGGAGGTGTTTTCCTTTTTAATTCAGTGCAAGAGTAAAAAACAAAACTACCAGGCTATATGTAAGTAACTAAAATCTTTCTTAAACACAATTCCATTTCTTCTCCCTTGTCCAACTGTCTTTTAATGGTACATCCCTGTGCTGTGGGGAATGCTAGCCTCTGAATTAGCTTGGCTTTGAATTACTTTCCTAATAATGCTTACCCAAATTCTTCCTAATGTATTAATAATAAAGTATTGGAAATGGGGTTATAAGTTTAACATAGATGAAATCTAATTTAAGTTTGTTAATATCTGTATTATTTAGAAGGCATTTAATTAATATATTCTTGATTTTGTTAAATTTTTTCAGCATTCTCAGAACTGTGGTGCTGGAACAGGGATTTTCCTTTTGATCAATGCATCAGTAATTATCATCATTCGAGGTCACCGCTTCTGCCTCTGGGGTTCCGTATATTTGGATGCTCATGGAGAAGAAGACCGGGATCTTAGGTTAGAGTGGCATGGATATATCTGGGGGGTTATTGAAGCTTGGTTAATAAAAACCAGTGTGATAATTCCTGGCTTCATAATTATACTTTTTTTAAATATTAAGAAATCCAACAATCACTAGTTTAGAGTGGTTAATTATAGTTTTTGAGGTATTTTCCTTATTGAACATACTTAGAAAACATGAAATAAACCAAATTACTAAGATTTTTCCACAACAAATTAAAAGAAGAAATGCCTGTGAAATCTTTATTGTATCATATTACCTTTAATAGTGTTTTTTTTTTCCTTTTTATTCTAGGCGAGGCAAGCCTCTCTACATTTGTAAGGAAAGATACAAAGTTCTTGAGCAACAATGGATTTCTCATACTTTTGATCATATCAATAAAAGATGGGGTCCACATTATAATGGGCTATGACTCACCACCTTGGCATTACATTACACTATCATTTTCATTAAGATTTTATTTTATCAAAAGTAAGCTTTAACTTAATTTGGGGGGATTAATGCTCTTGCTGAGGGAAAAAGAGAAAACATACATCTATGAAGCCTTTCCAAAATTAGGTGCTTGGTAAATCACGTTAATGGTATAATTTTTTTTAAGTATCTGGAAACAAATAAGTTGAATCATTCTTTTGTGGTCCTTTTTTTAAGTGCACAATTAATAAAAAGCACAACTTGTCCACAAAATCATTCAGAAATTATCATCCCTGCAATGCATATCAGCTATTCATGGATACTTAGTGTGGGTGTGATTAATTTGAAATTGTATTGCTCTGTGTTTTAATTTGCATCTGCTTAACATAATGCATCTTTTTTCCTCTGTTACTCTTGTGTTGATTTAAGATTTTTTCTGTATGTAATTAGAAAAAAATGTAAAACATGATTTATGTGAAATATTGTATAGTAAAAATTGGTCTAATAGTAGAACTTTAAAATTTTTTCTTATTGTGAAGAATCTGCTAAAAGTTTAAGGCTTTGCTGAAAACTTAATTCATTCTCAGGAATTTCATAAATATTCTCCCCACATAAATAATTGAAATAGATGTAAAATAAGTAGATAGCCGCTGGTAATATAATACAGTACATTCTGGGATGCATATGTGGGGTGAGGGGGCGGTCCTTAAAAATCAAAATTTGTGTGGAGTATAGCTCAGTGACAGAGCACTTGCCTAACATTCACAAAGCCCTGGATTAAATCCTAAGCACTGCAAAAAAAACAAATTGCCATTTCAGTTGGATGAATTAGAGTTGGTACCAAATAGATTTTACTAATAAAATCAAAAGGGTTGAGAACATACACATGGCAGATTTTGATTCTGTGCATACCCACCTTTTATTACCAACCAAGTTTTTGTTTATACAATTGGATTAGAAGTGCTCATACTTCCCAACAGATGAACCATACATTTTGGAACTTTCTATCAGCTCAAGAGGTTCAGCTACATTATTTGTATTCATGTAGTGTAATCACTGCTATTCTGCTTGGTTTCCTACAAGGAAAAAAAAGGGTTTAGTGGTGGTGACCCTCATGAATGAGCCATGCATCTGTACTCTTCTTAGAAACTACTGTGAAAAGAAATTTATGTTTGTAGAATTTTTAAATAAGAATGGAAGTAATTGAGCTAAAACCCACTCAAATAGAGAAGGAAGATTACAGAAAAGCTTGTTACATATTGGTACCAAGATTTTTTTCCATATGATTCAGTAATTCAATGATATATTATGCTATCGAGCAATTCTTGTACTTTGGAGTTCATGACTTATTATATAAAATTACATTTTATGTGTAAAAATAAACTTAAATGCATCTAATGATGAAATATAAAAAATGACATCAGATCCATGCACCAAAAGTTATTGAATGATATGACCTTACAGAATATGAAAATGAACATTAAATGATGGCCTTGCATTAAAATAGGGAAAGCAGAGCAGTACATACTCAAATGTGTTCAAAACATCAGAAAATTACCTATAGCTCTATCAGAAAATACATGGAAATAGCTTGCTATTTTTATATACATTTCCAAAATGTTAAGATAACTTTCTGTAAGACTAGAATGATTCTGTTTGACTAAATCACTGTCCTTTCCAACATACCACTACTTTTTAAAATATTGTATCATAAGTTCAGCCTGTCATATTTTTTGCATTGGTCATTATGAATACCAGATCATTTGTAAGTGTGGTTGAAGAGCAAAATGCTAATTTACATCTCTAGTAAATACTGTTACAGGATTCACGAACTTGAATTATTCTACAGCTTGAAGCTCTGATGCTATATATACATGGTATAATGTATTCAGACTTTGATTACTGCATATTTAAAATGGAATGTTTTGTGGCTGTGTGTATGGATGTGAAGTGACAATATTAGCCTTAACTTTAAAATTGGGGTATTTGATAGTGTTTATTTTGATATTGGTGAATTAGTCACCAGTAAATTTTAAAAGAGCACTTGGTTGAAAATTGTACTTGAATACATACATGCATGCTGCTAAACTAGAACTTTAATTTTTCCCCATAATTTTTATAAGTCCCATTTATAAACCCACTTTTAAAAATTTAGCAGGTCCAAGTTGGAGTGATGTGTGTATATTATTCAAAAAATGTACTAGTGTGATATCTTGTATGAATGATCATTTAAATACAGTACATTACTGTAGAAGCTAAATCAACCTTTATAATTAAGCAGAAAGTCAAAAAACTAGGAATAGTCAACACTGTAAGATATGTTAATAAAAACCTACTGTCATTTGGTTTGTGAAAGATCCTTAAAATGTTTAATGCTTATGTTTTTCTCATTTTTCCTCAAAGATATTGGCAGTAATATGTGTGAGTGATCGTGGCCTAAAAGATCCCTTAAGATTTGCTTTGCCTTTTGCCTTTTATTTGCAGAGCTATTTCTGCACAGACCCCTGCAAAGTATGTATGTTTTGAATAGGGGAAGAAGGAAATGAGTGTGTAGATCTGAGGACCATTATTGTCCCTGCTTTCTTGAAAGTTCCCAACTAGATTTTGAAAATTTAAAGTGCTCTATGATATTATTTATTTTGAATAGTCTCTGGTTTTGTTTGAATTTACAATCCTTATCCCTGTCCCTCCATTCTGAAGGTCACCAGCTAGTGATCAGCTAGAAATCCATTTCCTTTCTCAGATTTTTTTCATTTGCTTTTTTGTATTCTGTCATTTATTGATTTCTGTGATCTAGGAAAGATGTTGACTAAAAGCCCTGAAGGCTTAGAGATAACAATATTAGAGAAGGAGATGTGGCCCAAGACTCTCTCTACCATCATCAGGTAGATTTGCTGATTGAGATTCCTGTTGTTGGCTAGTATTTAAGGTCGTGTTGGAAAACAACAGAATAGGAAGAAAAAACACAAACAAACATGGTTTTAACCACTAGAATGAAATTGTCAAGGCAAGGGTGCATTCACTGTGGGTAAGTCTGGTAGTTAATGGTTGTGGGAGAGCTGACGACTTGTGAGTACTGTCCCCTCACAGTGCAAAGCACACAGTCCTTGCTCAAAGCCTTATGATCTGGCTGGAAATATCAAGCAATACTTAGTTCAACAGGGATGAGGTAGAATGGACAGAAATTTATTAGTCAGGCACATCAACTATGGAAGAGCTATTAGCAGCTATCTTAGTGTATAGTAATCATCCTGACTCTAAGCATAGAATTAGTCAAGTAGCAGTGAAATAAATGTAACTCCAACTGATGCAACAATGAAAAGATACCATGGAACCTTGTGTAGAGTTGGCTTTTTGTGAATTAGCGTAAGATGTGTCAATACCAAATTGATGAGGGAAAGCCCAAGAGCACATTAGAAGAAATCGGGTCAAGAGCACAGTTAGTGAATCCTGTGCTGGGAGAGGGAAAGAAAAAGGTCTAAGAGAAAATGTCTGGAGCAAAATACAAACATTTGTGTCTAATTTTCTCTTACCCGTGATGACAGGAGCCAGTTTGTGTTGAGAGTGAGTAGGTCTAACAGAACTTGGGCTGGGGATGAGTGGTAAAAGTTTAGATATATGCCAAAAGATAAAACAGACCAGAAATAAGGAGAAGCACCACAGAAGCCATATTGAGAGCCCAGTGGTGTTAAAACTAACCATTTAATGGAGCCAATTAGAAATGTTCTGTGACTGTAGGGCCCCTAAGATCCAGTGTAGGACCAAAGGAAAGAAATTAAGCTGATAAATTAATGCATATTTTGGCAATTAGAGAGGTGGATGCAATAGGTAAGGGTATTATATAAGCTGATGAAAGAATAAGGTTGAAATGAGTGAGAGGTACATGTTGGATTATAGGATTGAAAGTCAAAATAAGATTTAATGGGAACTTGCAAAGTTTTCTTTTGAAATTATGAAAAATTTCTTTAGTGTTGAGACATTTAAATTCATTTAGTAAATATTTATTGAGATCCTATGTTCTGTGCACTGTGATAAATACCAGAAATACAGTGGAAAAGAAGTCACATGGTCCCTTATCTTACATAGCTTTGTGTTTGATGAATGCTACAAGTAATGCATGTGTTTGGGGATGATGGTAGTAGAAAAGAAGGGTCTATAAATGAGCCCTCCATATCAAACTTGGGGCATGTAAAGAGGCTACTGGGGATAGAGATGTCTAAGGTGATCTCCCTAGTATTGTATAGACGTTATTGGTGTGAAAGAGGAAGTGTGAGGAACTTTTTTTTCTTTTTTTAAGGTAAGCATAGGAAAAACTGCAAAAATCCACAGTCGAGAGAGCACTTGTAAACAGGGACCTGAAAGGGAATCATTCTGACTCTAAGCAGAATGATTAGATAAGTAGAATCTAAGCCACTAAAGAGTGTTGTAAGTCATTTTAAGAGTTTAATGCTTTTTACTGAGAGCAATGGGAAGCTCTTTTAGGACTTTAGTAGTACAGTGATGTGATCAGATTTGCATTTTAGAAAAGTGAGTCTGGTTGCACTATGGAAAAATATCCAGACAGGGAGACTGGGTATGTATTGAGAGGTCAGATACAACATGATAGTTAACCCAAGTAGGGGAATTATGGTGGGACAAGAGATGTGGACGGACAGAGCTTAGAGGAGTGAGGCAGAGCAAAGAATATTAAGTATTTACTGTGTGCCAGATGCTAAGCTACATGCTGGGACTACCATGTTAAACAAGACAGAAAGGGTCATATCTGCTTACACTGTAGTAGAAAACAGCACATTATGTAGGTATAGGTCAACTGGAAGTTCTCAGCAAGTTAGGCAGAGGACTGTGGATACTAATGAACTTAGTATAGGGAGTACATGGAAGAAGTGATGCTTAAGCTGAGACCTGAAATAAGGGTAGAGGTGGATTAAGTGAAGAAGGGCATGGGGGAGGGCATTCTGAAGGGTTCAGTACAAAGGCACTGCAATGTATTTCAAGAAACGAAGAAGTACAGTACAAGTTGAAGCATAGAAAACAGAATAGAGATGGTGCAGAAAAGATGCCGGAATCTAATTGGGACTGCTTGGGCCAACTTACGGATTTTGGTCTTTATGGCCTTCATTTTTTCGTCTTAGTTTAGAGCAGAGATGCAAACCTGTTTTATAAAGGACCAGCTGGTTTCTGTCACATGATTCAATTCTGCTGTAAGAAAAAGCATCCATAGACATATAACTGAATGAACATGTCTGTGTTCCAATGAAACAGTGTACAAAAGCAGACTGTAGGCAGGCCATAGCTGGCCAATCATTGGTGTAGGGAATGGAAAGGAAGGGAACAGGAAGATTTGGAAAAACCATTCAGGGAGGTAATTTAGTTGCCACAGGAGACATGAAGATGTTTTCTGTGAGGGCAGTGACAGAAACCACTGTATTCTGACCTGATGATTGCTAGTGTTATTTTGAGTTAGGAAGCATTAGAGGGCTGGTAGAGTCTCGTGTCCTGCATGAGCTTGTCCTAGAAATTTTAACTGGGGGCGACGGGAGATGCCAAAAAAGACAACATAAAACTGGGGCCAGGTAGGCTGTACACTCGGATAGAGACACACCAGCCCCCTCCACCTCCAGCAAGTTTAATATATATAGTGACAAAACGAGGTGGAGAGGCAGTTCTCAGGGGAGGGAGACGTGGCATTGTAATCCTTGGGGACAGGAGGAAACCGTGACAGCTTCTCTCTGAACGTAAACATCTTAGGAAAAAACAGCTGTACTTCATCTTGCCTACTTCTGCAGCTGAGGCTGTGCCAACTCAGGCATAACTATGCTTCTGTGGTTTGGGGCTGTGCCAAACTCAAACCTGCAGCTTATTTGATACACCTATCCACTCTCCACAGTAGAGTGGCTTAAGTGCTAGAGTGTCTGCTTAGCAAGCGTGAGGCCCTGAGTTCAAACCATAGTACTGCCAGAAAAAGTAAGAGGTAGTAAAAGGGGGTGATGAGGTATAAAGTTGAATGTGGTGTGCATAGATTTTGACATACTGAGCCTGAGGCTCCTGTGAGTCATCCACATGGGTATGTAGTAATGAATTAATTTGAAGGTGAGGTGGTCAGGGTAAAGTTCTGAAATGAAGAGCTAGATTGGGGAGTCATTGCTACAAACCAGAGAACTGATAGAGGTAGAAGCCAGAACTTAACTTCTGAGAAAGTAGAAAAGTTTGAGAGTAATGTGGAGACAATTTTCTAACTCCCACATAGCCAGAATTTACCCTTCTGCATGGCCACTGTTCATGTGTGCATCAAGACCTACTTCTAAGTAGCTTTTGTGTTTATTCAGATGGTGGTGGTTACTGTCTTGAGTCTAGGGCTTGAGTCAGTGGACCTGCCTGTGTTTGAACTACCTCTCCTTACCTCAGTATATTATTTAGCAATGTGCCTCTTTCAGGCAACAGAAAACTTGACTAACCAATGACTTGAAGAAGTAAAGGGTTTGTGATTTTTAGACAAAAAGAAATCTGAAAGTAGGCATACCAGGAAGGGGAAGCCGTTCAAGGATATCATTACAGGGCTAGGGTCCTCCTATTTTCCACATCAGTACTCTGTTGGTTTCATTCTAATAGCTGCTAACCTCCAGGCTGCCATGCAAATGAAGGCAAGATGGCAGTTTACCTTGTTTTCCAGTTAGGATAAAGGCAAATAGGCCAAATGCCTCTTCCCAAGGCATTGTCCTTTGTTCAGCAAGAGAAGCCCTTTCCCAACACACATTTACATACATCTCAATAGTTAGTAAAGTAGGTGGTAGAGAAATCTGGAAAGATATTTTACCTTTTGAATCCCTATGCTTGAGGAACACAGAAGAAAAATGATTATGAAGACTTTTGGTGGCTAATTCAGTGACTGCCACACTTTAGTTTCTCCTTTGTGCAGTGGAGGCAATACCTAATGTGATTATTAAATGAACATAGGTAATACTTCTGACTTCTAGTAGTGGCAGATTAAGTGATTCAGACTGATTCAGATCCATGGCTGTGTAACAATTTACCCTAAAACCTAGTGTTATAAAACAGTTTGCATTACATTTCTGAAGATTTAGAATCCAAGAACAGTTTGGCTTGGTGGTTCTGGCCCAAGGTCTTTTATAAGGCTGAAATTAAGGTGCCAACCAAGGTTGCACTCACCAGAGAGAGGATCTGCTTCCAAACTCACATGGCTATTGGCCAGAGACTTGCCATGTGGGCCTCTCAATAGTTCTGCTAGCAACACAGCAGTTGATTTCCCCAAGAACAAGTGATAGAAGAGAGGGAAAGAGAACACACAAAGAAGTATGCTCATCCTTATGATGAAAACTCCAGTGTCTTTATAACCTAATCTTGGAAGGGCCAGATACTTCTGTCAAACACCAACCCGGTGGGAGGGAACTGCACAAGAGTATAAGGAATAGAGCCCATCTGACTGAAGAAAACTTAAAATGCCAAATGAGTGGGCAAAAAGAACAAGGATTTGTATAGCTTTAAAGTATGTCCCCTAAAGTCTGTGTTAATTGCAAAGGGAAAGATGGAAAGGTAGTAACTTCTTAGTAGAGACACAACACCACCACTTTAGTCAAGTTATTAAAGTTTCCCCAGGCATACTCACTTCTAAACCCCTTAATACAATTTGTTGAGAAGTATATAATTTCATTTCAATCATGTGAAAACATCAGACAAACCCAGCAAAAGGATGCTCTACAGACCAGCTTACTAGTTCTGGTACTCTTTGAAAATGTCAAGGTTAAAAGATGGGGAAAAACTGAAGACTTAACAGAATGGGAAAGACTAAGGAGAAATAACTAAGTGCAATGTGGGATCTTGGATAAGACATTGATACCCAAAAGGGATGTTACTGAAAAATGGAAAACTTCAAATAAGGCCTGTTGTTAGTGGTAGTAACCTAGTGTAATTTCTGAATGCTATGGTTATGTGAGGTAACAGGGAGAGGAGAGTGAAGGATATATAGGAATACTTTTGCACTATCCATGCAAGTCTTCTGCAGATCTAAAAATTGATTTTAAGATGGGAAGCTTAAAAAAATAGCTAGTCTGTTTCCTGAAATGAAAGAAGTTCATATTGAAAGAGAACACAGACTAGCACCAGGATAACTGACCTTCAGTAGTCCACTTCAAGACCAGCTCTCGAAAACCTTTTTGACTCTAAAGATAAAGTTTTGGGGGCTCACAGGCAAACTATGATCAAATGACTGAAAAAGAACAGGAGAAGTAGACAAGTCTTTTTTTTTAATAAACAATATATAAAGCAAGGCAAAGTTGAACAGACTTTTTTTAAAAAAAGAAAGTGACTCAATGATTTTATTTAAGATCATTCTGACCTTGTATCAGAACCATAGAAAACTAATTTTATGCATGAAAATATGTGCCTTTCTAGAGAAAACACTACTGAAAGATTGGCTTCAACCAACTACAAATATACTAGGGAAATGAGCAAAAAGCCCAACAGAGGGACTGGGGGTAGTAGAGCTCTTGCCTAGCACAAACAAGGCTCTAAGTTTGATCCCTAGCTGTGCATATTATATATAAAAAACAAACAAAAAAGCCTAAACCAAACTTGCTACTGGGTGTTAGTGGCTTATGCCTGTAGTGGAGCTACTTGAGAGGCTGAGATCAGGAGGATCACAGTTCATGGTCATCCCAGGAAAGTAGTTTGGTGAGACCCCCATCTCCAAAATAACCAGAGCAAATGGACTGGAGGAGGTGTGACTCAAGCCATAGAGTGTCTGCTTTTCAAGTGCAGAGCCCTGAGTTCAAACCTCAGTCCCACCAAAAAAATAAAAAGTTGCATACGATTTCACTGTGGCTAGTGAGGCCTCACTAGCCCAGATGTGAGTTCTTATGGAAGGAGTTGATAACTGAAAACCACATGGTAAGTCTACATTCTCAATAGAGGCAGAAAGGAAAATAAACCTGACATTAAAGATATCCTGTGGAGGACAAGGACGTCATCTAAATTCTCAAATTATTTCTCAAGGTTTTGTTTGTTTTGGTGGTAGTGGTGGGGACCAAACCTCAAGGCCTCATGCACACTAGGTAGGCAAGCACTGGGCTACATCCATAGCCCTAAGAATATTTCAAATAAAGTGAAGGAACATGTTGAGACAATATTCATAAAGGAGAGTCAAAAGAAAAAGAATAGAAACAGACCACAGGGGTTCCAGATACTGAAGTTGATACATAGAGTGGTACTTTTAAAATTTTTTTTTAGAAAGAACCAAGTAATTCTGATTCTGAAAACAATAACCAAAATCAAAAACTTAATGGGGTTGTTTAATACAGAGGAGATGTGGCTAAGAAAAGACTTAGTAAACTGGGTTCTAAATCGGAACTATTCAGAAGAAAGCACAGAGGCTAAAAGAAAACAAATGAGAAAAGTAGAAGCCACAGTGGACACAGTGAGACTATCAAACACTCTTGTAGTTGGAGTCCCAGAAAGTGTGGGGTTAGACAATGCTGGAAGAGACAAGAGGGCTGGAGGGTTCCTGCAGTGATGAGTGACAACACTTTATAAATTTAAGAAGTTGAATAGATTCCAAATCAGATAAATAGGAAACCATACCTAGACCCGCCATAGTGACACAGGAAGGAAAAAAAAAAGATGCCAGTGGAGAAAGGATGGGTGGCCTTAACAGATTTCTCAGTAGGAACATTGGGAACAAGAAGGCAGTAACAAAAGGAAATATCTTTGACGTGTTGAAGGAAAACAACTTTTTACCAAAGATCCTCTACAAAACAAATACTCATTAAAATACAAATCTCCCTTGTGGGAGATTGAATTTCAGAAAGAAACAGAAACAAATGTGTGACAAATATGTAAGTATAGCTAAATGAACATTAATACATAAAATTATAATACATTATATGGCATTTCAATATATGTGTCTGTCAGTGTTTGGTAGTAATA